CGCCTGGCGCTAGCATTGGCGTCTGGCGCTAATGTTGGCGCCTAGCGCCAATAGCCAGCGTTGGCGCTGGTTTGGTTTTTTGTGCGCCAGAGCTCTGTTTTGATATTTTATCCTTTTGGCTGATTTTCTCTATAAATAACGTGTTAAAAACTCTGTTTTCGATAACCAGTTTCCATCTATAATTAACCAGTTTTTCATCTACAACCTACAATTCTCTCTCATTCTCTCTTATTTTCATTCTCTCTATTTTCACCAACTCTCATCAAGATTTCTTAATTACTCTCTCTCTCTCTTTTTCTAAACTAGCTTCTCTCAGATATAAAAAATTCCGCATTCATATATCTAGAAACACCTAGCATTATTCGAAGTTGCCTTCGCCCTAGACGTGAAAGGTTTAATTTCTGAGGGTTTGGTCCTAAATCTCTCTTTCCATTATTTAATTTAATTGTTTTGTTTGTTATTTTCCTTGAAGTTACTAACGTGTGTATTTTGTTATTAGAAAGAGGTACGAGGCATCCAAGTAAGTACTTTAATGGTTTAATTGATATTATGATGTAAGAGATCATGTTTAGGTTGTTATTATGATATTCCTAGTATCATGTTTAGGGTAACTTTAATATTAAGTATGAAAAGTATGATGCTTCCTATGTTCTTCCTAATATTTATGATTGTTATCATCATGTTAGGGCTAAAGATTTGATTTTTATTGTTTAGTGACATGCTAGGGTTTGTTATTAATCTTGTTAGTATCATGCCTAGGATCTTGCTATTATTATAATGCTTTAACATGATTATAATTATTATTTATTATTATGATTTTAATGATTATTTTAATTATGATTATAATATTATAATGATGATTATAATTTATTTTATTATTATTATGTTGCTTGATATTTATTTTTATTGCTTGATCACGCTTTTTATGCATGTTTAAAGGGAATTGGTATTTGTAATCACGCTTAATAAGATAATTAATAATCTTGTTTAGGGTTAATTTGATTATAATTTCAAGTGATCGCCAATAATAGATTTATTTGTGCATTAAATTCAACCAACATAGATAAACAGGTTTAGGGTAATCCTATTGATTGCATGTTAATCAGAAAGCGCACATGAATACGATCTGAATAAAGTAGAGGCATAATATTAGGGCAGGTTCAATCTCTTTTAGGTTGGATTTGTACCTTCATCCCCGAACCCTTATTTGGTTCAAGACCTATTGGAGTTGACGATCTCATGGATCGTTAAGGGGTGTAACCTTCACCTCGTGAACGGTTTACAAGTTCCTAAAAAACTTGTTGGCGACTCTTTTGCTCTATCTTCTTCCCTTTTGGACGCCACCGTACTTTAGTGTATGATCACAGATAGGGGATTAACGCTTGAAATATTCCCTACAACGATCTTCCTCAAGACAAGGGAATATCGCCAAAGACCGCTCCGCTTGTAGTTGTCTTCACTTTTTTGTCCGTGACAATCCTCCGCAAGCTAGGGAACACCATCGAAAATTGCTCCGTTAGTAGCGATCTTCTGCTATTTTTTGACCATCTTCCGCAAGCTAGGGAAACATTGTCGAAGATAACTCTTCTTGTATCCATCTCCCGTTTTCGTGACAAATCTCCACAAGCTTGGGAACATTGTCGAAGGTGACTCTGCTTGTATAAGGAGGGTGTTCCCATCGTAGGGGATCTTTCTCCTTAAATGCTCATGGCCCTTTAAAAGCCTAGGACTTTACACTTGTTAGGGTGTATTAGGATTTGAATTCCCGACTGTTTGGGGGACCTTGAATTAGAATGGAGCCTATTATCACGCTTTTTTGTAAGAAACAAGTAGGAGTCGCCAATGAGTTTTAGAAAAACTCATAAACCTCGTTCATGCCTTTCTCCCAAGTAGAGTTCAAGGGATATTTAGCAAAAATTGTAAGTTTACCCATGCCTAAATTGGTCTACATAAACCAGAAATGAGTTCGGGAGCTATGGTACCAAGATAACATTCCCTTTAGAGGGGAATTGCTATCTTAGCCCTAGTACGGCCTTTACAAGCTATTTCTTTTTCACAATTTCATCACCAAACAATATATGCAACGTGATACCTAAAAACTAAGTTAGTTGATTTTATTTACACGCGTCAATCACGTAGGAAATACATTGCAAAAGTCTTTATTCTTATTTAATCAATATTCTGGACATAGAAGATGGGGGAATGGTTCCCCCAAGAGGTTGGGTGCTCGATCCTCACGCCCTCATTCATGTGATAGGGTACCCTAGTATCTTACCAATTTACCATTTCACTAAAATGAAACAAAGTTCGTAAAAAGTGTGGGATGCAAAAATGAAATTATGTGAGATATCAAGACATCGATGTGTGGAAAAAAAAAGACTTAGGCCATGTTTAGTTAGTTCATCTTATTTCAAAATCTTACATATTAATTATCTTAAATTAAATAAGAAAAATTAAGTTTCAGATTTAATTTGATCATAAATAAATAAGTTCAAATTAGAACAAATAAGCAAAAATAAGGTGAGATAAACATGCCTTACACTTATCACTTCAAAATTTCACCATTTTTGTTAAAAATATTTGGAAAAACAATCATGATTAATCCCAACTTTGCTCCGTCCGACCCGCTAATATTAATTTTAACTTTCATTTATTTTTTATCACTCCCAACTTTATACCGTATTAATTTTTATTACCCCAACCGTTCATCCAACTTGATATTGCAAGTTACCAGACACGTGTCCACACGTGATAGGTCCAAAAACAATTTTTAAAAAATAAAAAAAATAAAAAATAAAAAATAAAAAAAAAACCCAACCCTTACCCAGTAGCAGGTGGCAGCCTGCCACCTTTGGTAGGTGGCTCCCTTGTCGTTTTCGACAGGCGGCAGCTCCTACTATCGTCGGCAGGGAGAAAACCCCTGCCAATTCGGATAGGCGGCAACCGCTGCTAACTCCGACCACCGACCTTTTTCCTTCCCCCTTCCCCACCGTTTTCGCCCCTACTCCTGTCGTTTTGCAACTCCATCTTCTTCCCCGTCCGTTTGCGCCCCCTTTCCCCACCAGATTTTTCCATCCTTTCACTCCTCCTCGAACTCCCACCAGCCTCCTTCCATCCCCATTGAATTTCGACCCCTTTCCCCGTTGAATTCCGCCCCTCTTTCCTTTCCCCCGCTTTGGTGCGTGAGAGAAGAGAGATAGATGGGGGCATGGTGCTGCTATGTTGGTGGCTGGTACTCTGGGGAAGGGGGATGGCTGGTCGTGGGTGGATACGGGTTGTTGGTGGATGGTTTTTTTTGTTTCTTTTTTTTTTTTTTTTTTACTTTTTAACCTATCAGATTGCGACATATGTACAAGTAATCCAAAGTCAGCAATATTCACCTCTTCACCCGGTTTCAAGTCACTTGGGGGTGATTAAAATTAATAGGGTACAAAGTTGGGAGTGATAGAAAATAAATGGAAGTTTGGATTAATAACAGCGGACGAAACAAAATTGAAATTAATAGTAGGAATTTTTCCAAAATATTTCACCATTGTTTAAATTTGTGGCATCTACTCGTGAAACAAGTGAATTGAGATAGGCTGATAGGGGGAGAATATATAAAAAAGTGATTGCCTAAGCAAGACGAGAGCCAGTTATGAACACCTGGGTGTAACGTACACCGAGGGTCATTTTCTCATATAATTGACAAAATGAATAAATAAGTATTTGCTCAGTTGTTGATTAAGTTAGCAAATTACCTGGGTGTACGATACACCCGGGAGTATATAACAAATTCTAAAGCAAGACAAACTCCTGAGAATTTCATATTACAGGTTACATATTATATACTGTAATGTTTTTGCTCCTCCAGAATACCTTGCCTCATATCCCAAATATTAGAAATTACATTTTTGTAAAATTCTTTTCCAATTTACAAAACATTATTGCCTTGGCTAATCTATAATATTATTAAAACCCAAGGGAACAACATGGTTACGCCATGTGTCACCCTTCCCACAATATGACTAGGCAACACATGTGTGTGAGGTGGCATCCTACATGTCACGTCTTTTCCCAATATAAATTGATTTCACCGGCATTAATTAAAACTCTATAACTTTAATTAAAAACTAAATATTAAAAAAAAAAAAACTTTTTCTATGTATAACCTCCAAATTTAATTCTATAACTTTAATTCTCTATAATAATGTATAATTTTAATCAAAAACGCTTCATATGCATAACCTTCAAATTTAAATTTGACATGCTTATTTTAAATTTTCTCATATATTAATGAAAGATCATATAGATTATTACTCTGTATATATTTCATTCACTTATTAATAATCCGTATTGTTTAGCATTACTAATTTTTTATTAATTTTGATCAAACTTAATTATAAATTTACGATGTATCGGGGCATCACCCGAGCCAATAACTAGTTAGTGTTAAAAACTTAAATACTTGGTGCCTTGGTGGTGCTACCAAAAGGCTTTATTGGATAGTTATTGTTTTATGGATTTAAGATTAACCATGATTTAGGGCCTATTCTAATTTACTGAAATGAACTGAACTGAACTAAACTAAATAGATTTGAAATAAATTATTTATGAAAGAAGGAAATTAAGAGCTGAACTGAAATGAGCTAAACTAAATTGAACTGATTGGAGCTGAACTGAACTGAACTAAGCTGAACTAAACTGAATTGAAATTAAGTCAAAGAGAACAAACCATTAATGAGAATTTGTGTGTAGAATAGCTTATGCTTAATCGATAGCAATCTTCCTTTAATTTGAATAAACATATGTTAATGTGAATCTGTTCAAGTGTTTGACTAGACTATTCTATAAACACCTTTTTCTAATTTTAGCCCAAAATGAAGTTATAAAGAGTCCATACCAGTATCAAAAAGTCGAATTCATTATGAGTATTCAAGGTGAGACGATGGAGGTATGAAGAGAGAAAGAGAGAGCATTACACTATTAAATAAACGTTATATTATATATTCAACCATTAATTTAATTAGTAGCATCAAACTAGGTTAACTAATAAACACTACTAAATAGATAGAAAGATAATATAGGCAACAAAAGAGCAATTACTTTTGTTAATATCTTAATCACTAGTTAATCATTCCTTAATCAGCAACAAAAGCAACACCAGACTCTCTCTCCACAACTTCTATCAGCTTATTAGCAATTGCACTTGCATACACTGATGACCCTTCACAAATCTGCAACAAAATTAACAAAAAAACACAAACAATTAAACACAAAAAACAAGCAATTAAACCATAATTAATCCAAACTTCTTGGCCTAATCACCTTAGTGTTGAACAGATAGCTGTAATAGTCCCCAACTTCGCCACCAGCTACATGGCGTAAATCCAACTGAAGCTCATCAAGAGTCCTAGACACAGACAGTAAACAGTTGATCTTCTTTCGTTGCACTAGCTTGATGGTAACATCATCATCAACAATTCGAACGTCGACTTCTGAGTCCTTCCACTTCCTCTGAATCCATGAGCTTCGGAGTTGGATGGCTGTGGAACAGTTGAAATCCTCCTCCGGTTCCGGTTTCACTGCTGCCACTGCATCGACACCGGTGCCGTGTTGGTCCCCACCAACAGGAGGGGTGTTGGTATCCTCCTGAGTTTTGTGCCTTTTAATTTTGGAAATTCTTTTCTTATCAACCAGGATTTTGAGCTCCCCTACTGTCCTTCTCAGTTCATGTATGTGGTTTATTGCATCCAGTACTATTGATGCTCTATCAGTCTACATTACATTCATGCATTTCAACAAACAGTTAATGTGCAAACTAAAAAATCAAAAAAATAAAATAAAAAAATTCCCTGCTTTCTGAAATAATAGTTATGTAGGTAATGTTATTTGAACGAGTAATTACATAACTATTAAATCCAACGATGAAATAATCCACATGGATAGAAAAACAAAATCCTTTCGAAAAAAAATAATTGATATGTAAATAGTGTAATATAAATAATAGTAGGCTGACTCCATTGATATCAGATATTAACAAAGTTTGTTAATATAATGGCATTGCTGTAAATATTGAGCATGTTTTCTGAAAAGTAATGTTAAAGTTCGGGTCTGGTGATGTGGATACCGTTATGTTCGATTTGTGGGGACAAACGTGTAACGGTACTAAAATAGACGGAGAATTTAACGCCGTCCTGTTCTAACTTGTGGATTGATTAAATCTGGGTTCTAGGTAGGAGGAGAGAGAAAGTTACAAAACAAAGATACTACTAGAAAAAGAAAAGCTACGATATCACTCCTGCCACCGTCATCACCATCGGAAGCCGCTATTTCTCCCGCCCCAACCCCATCGCAGGAAAATTCCCCGAAGCTAGATCTAAAAGATTGGTATAAGATCTTGACATCATTTTGCTCCCTTTTTTTCGAATTCCAGTTCTATCTCTCTCTTCCTTCAAATCAATCCACTAACAAGTAACAACTACTACTATCTTTCCCCCAAATTCCAAAATCGAACTAGGGTTCGCAGCAGTACGAGAAACGTGGTGATAATGGCGAAATTAGGGTCGTACTCCTGGGTATTTTAGCCGGTGAATTGCAGGTTTGTTTTCCTTTATATAAATTAGCATTACTTGTACATTCTTGTTAAAGGAGTTGATTTATTTCTGGATTTGGTTAGGGTGCTCAATTTCTTCAAGCTGCTGCCATTTCGTGAAAATGGTCCTTTTTACCCCGTCAATTCGACACTTAAAAGTTAAAGTCTTCTGTTAACGTCAGGATAGTACTGAAACGGGGATACCAAAACGGGAATATCAGCAGAAACCTAAAATTGACAATTATACCCCTCAGTTACCCACGCGAAATGACTTACATACCCTGATATAAACAAGATATGAACTTGGATTTCCTCCAAAAATTTATAAAACAATCACCCACACCAAAAAAATAATCTCCCACATAAAAAAAAATATAAAATAATTTGTTTCTTTATAATAAAATAATCACGTATACAGTATAAACTAAACGAGTAGTTCACTGACTATTAAATCTGGCCTTTATAATAAAATAGTCATGTAGATAGTGCAAACTAAACGAGTAATTACGTGACTAATAAAATAATGATGTAGGTGGAGTAAACTAAACGAGTAATTACGTGACTATAAAATCCGGACAAAAGAATAGTAAAAAATTCAACCATAATTTTAATAAGCATTATATACCTTGGTTTGGTTGGGAATGAGTTTGCTGAGATACTCATACTTGTCACTGAAGTTTCTCCTCCTTTGTTTCTCAGTAGCAGAATTCTAAGGGCTCTTATTATTACTATTATTATTATTACCCATTTTCCCTTTCCCTTTCCTAAACTCAAGAATCCCATTCCTAAGAAATTGGGTATCATCTTCTTGGTAAACCCCATCAATCCCATTCACATTCACGGTACTAAACACGTGATTAGGATGAAACAAAATCTGATCTCTCATCATAAAAGCAGAATTCTGAGGGAACAAATTAGGATCATAAGAAGATCCGGACCCGGCACCGTGTACCGGGTAATCAACCATCATAGCCGGGTTAAACTCCCCTAAAAGCCCGAAAGCCGAAGGCGGTGGTGGCGAAGAGGAGGAAGCAGAAGCAAAAGAGGAAATGGGTAAGTGCAGAAGTGTAAGAAGATCAGTTGTAGTAGTGTGATGGTGTATGTTTTCAACAAAATTGGTGAAACCCATTTCAGAATTATGGTCCCAAGTAGTATTGGGATCATAATGAGAATGATTACAAAGATTATTATTAGGGTTTTGGAAATCTGATTCCTGCAGAATTGTTGTGATAGTCTTTGTCTTTGTCTCATAGGATGAAAACCCATTAATTGCAGCAGCAGCAGCAATTGCTGCAGAAGCAGGTTGGTCATCAGGGTTGTTGTTGGGGTCAAAGCAAGCAGCAGATTCACTCTGATTATACATTTTCTCTCTCCTCCACCTTTTATGGGCTTCTGTCTCTGCACAAGATCAAATCTTTTTTCAGTATAAAAAATGAAAAGATAAAATAAAGTAAATAAAAAGTTGTTGATTATCAACATTTATGCATAAAGTTACTACTGTTTTGATCTATTTCAGGTAAAATAGAAGGTTTATGGAATTATGGATTATTGTATATATGAAAATTAATATTGAATAATCATATTGTTAGTATAAAAGAGCTTACCTTTTTGTTTGATTTCTTTCAATAAATGTGTAATTAAAAAAGTAAAAATGTTGAGGAGTGAAGTATGAATTACAGGGAGATAATAAAAAGGGGAATTTGTCCTGGTGTAAGGAAGAGGAATATAGAGGGCAAGGAAAGGGCAGGTTTATATTGTACTTGTTAAATGTGGAAATGTGGAGAGTAAATGGGCTTTTTTTTTTTTCTTTTCATTATTTCCTTGTTATTCCTTATTTTTATTAAAAAAAAAAAAAAAAAAAAAAAAAAAAAAAAAAAAAAAAAACTCTACCTTCGTTTATTATCATTCTGCAACTTTGGAATATTTTATATCTCAAATAATGCCCAAAGTTACAGATAACAATTAACGGAGATAATATATAGTATTCCATGGTCTCAAAAAAAAACTATGTAGTACTTCGTATAAATTAAGTAATTTTGTGGTTGTTATTTAGTGATTTTTCATTAAATTTGGATCACACACTTGTTGATTTTATTACAAACATCACAAGTTCTCAAAAAAGGTGAATGTACATGTTAAAGACATATTAAAAGTATTTAAAGTTACCTTTCATAATGCAAAAAAATTATATTCTAGTATAAAATAGCTATAGTGGTAGTTATGCTCAAAGTGACTGAAGCGATACCTCCGTTTCCATTCTTTGTTTATCTAGTACTACGTGTATAGTTGATAAACTTGAATTATCTCAATATTCATTTGTTTTTATTTTTTCTAGCCTTATGGAAATGGAATATTGGACCTTTATCTATTTACACTTCACTCTTTATGCATGTACTAAATTTTTAACCACCCGCCCCCCCCCCCTTTTTTTTTTGGGTAAGGAGTTTATGAGAATGTACCATTCTAGGAGAAAATCTCACACAAATCTGTTCACATCCTTAACTAATAGCCAACATCCTTTGCAAGCAGTGGCGGATCCAGGATTTCCGACTTGGTGAGTCACTATCAATTATTGATTACTTGTGAAAGTACAAATGATTTTTCCAAATCTTGTTTATAATTAATTTCAATCCAAAAAAATATATATATATATTTCACCAAATCGATTTCAATCTAAAATAAGACACAAAAATCCATAATACAACCAAATACTCCGTACTATTTAAAAATTCAATCTTACAAGTTGAAAATATTACAAATAACATGTTACAAACAAATTGTAATATAAAACTTTATGATTTTTTACTTAGATTTGTGGGAAAATATTAAAATTGGTTGCACAAATATAGGATATAAAATTATAAATAGAAGCAAAAATTGTTAAGTAAAAAAAAGGAGATAACTTAAGAGACCTGTTATTAAGTATAACCGGTCTCTTTAACGAAGAAAGAAAGCAGCTCTAAAATGTGAAATGCAATAGCAGCATCAAAGAGACCACTTACCTTTATAGTTGGTCTCTTTGATATTTTTATAAAATGTGTCGGCTCTGTTAGCACTCTTAGCAGCATCAAAGACGCCTCTCTACAATAAGCGGTCTCTTTGATATTTTTATTTTAAAAAAAAAATCATTTTTTTTTGGTGATGCTGAGTCACATGACTCAGTGTGCACCAACACAGATCCGCCACTGTATGCAAGTACTTGTATCAACCTAGATACAAATTCCCTCCTCCAAAGTGTTTTTAATGGGGATTATTCCTACAACTTCAGATCATGAAATAACACTAGTTCAAGTATTATCTAGTAAGAATAGTATAAATTGTTCGTTGGTATATAAATTTTTAATCCTTCATATCTATACTCCATATGAGATAAGGAAACTCAAAGAGAATAAAAGGGTTAAAGTTATTAAGCAGTATTACTTCGTATAATATACAAACAAATTAATAATCCATGTTTATACGTATTGTGCAATTGATAATCTATTGTCATCAATTATAATGTTTAAAATCTGTACATATATAGTTCCAAATTAAGCCTAAGCTTTGCTTAAGTGCCACATAACCTCGTAATACAACGACCAAACAAATTTTTATTGAGACAAATGGGACATAAAGGATTGCAAAATAGTCTCCCTCAGTCTTCAAAACATCGACCTCAAATTTTTAATGATTGCAAAATAGTCTCCCTCCCTCCGTCCTCAAATTTTTAATATAAATGATTGCAAAGTTTGTGTGATTTTGGTATATAATATTGTGTTTTTCATCCCTATTAAATTTTTTAGCTTTATTTTTATTTTTTACGATTTTTTTTCTTGGTGAAAAATATAATTTGGATTTTGTAACACTAGCATTACAATATCCTAGAGGTACCCAATCTATGACAACTAGTTAATGTGATTCCCAAGTGGCAGATCTAAAGGGTACATAGAGGTATTGCCGTACCCCTGTCCTGAAGAAAAAAAAAAAACTAATAATTATAAAATGGAGCCATGCATGGAAAGATGAAGATCGTATACCAATAAGACCCTATTCAATGGTGAGACTCAAGTGAGTATTTTTAAGAGGGAGAGAGTAATTTTTGCAATGTATACCAATTATCTAAACTTAGAAACCCAAAAGAAAGTTGTTAAGTTTAGATACTCAACTTTGAGTCTTATTTGGCAAAAAGTGTGGACCCCTTGTCAATATTCTAATATATTTTGTAATTTATTTAAATTTTACCTTTTTTTTTAATCTTACAATATTTGATAATAAAAAAGAAATGGATTTGTGAGCCATAATTGAAAGTGACATTTGTATATTTTAGAGAGTCTCACCATTGGAAAATTAGGTTTCAAATGAGTTGCTAAATTAAGAAGTGACCATGGTATCACCATTGAGGTAAAAAATTACTCATTTCGTATTTCAATACTCAAATTGGAGTCTTATTATTGGAGATGGTCTAAGTTTTTATAAAAATAAATGCACCATATACCTTTAATGACCACGAGATAAGTGGAGTTTGATTAATTATGCCACGAAATCACCTCTAGATCCCTTCCCTTACCACCAAAATCGGCCACCACTCGCTCTCCACCTCCCCTAACCCCTGAATTCACCACAAATCTCAAGAATCATGTATGTATGATTAGTTTTCGAGGTTGGGAAAGGAGATTAAGGTTGGTTTAGTACTTTAGTGGGTAGGGGAAGGGAAGGTAGTTGGTTTGGAGCTTAAGGAAAATGATTTGGGATAAAGATTGACAGAGCTAACATTTGTTAGTCCATAAGGGTATTTAGTGCATTTTTTAGAAAACTTAGGATTTATATGGTGTATTTGAAAAAGTTTGGGGGTATATGGTGAACAAAAAAAAACTTGGAGGTACATGATGAAAATACCGTAGATATAAGTTATAAAAAGTAGATATTCAAAAATCATACATTAATACATTCTAACAAGTATTCATGTGACTATGCTCATTTTTACTCGTTTTGTCCCAAATTACTCGCAACATTATGACTTTTTGCACTATTTATACATATCACTTTGACCATTTTTTTAGCTATTATATAAATGTCAATGTAATCATGTAAGATGTTCTTGGGTCTATTTTAATATATAGTTTCTTTATATAAACTTTTTTTAACTTTTATTAATATGTAATAAAATATATCAACTATCAAATATATGTATCGGCATTCGGCAAGCATGTCCAATCAAAATGTTGAAAGTAATCAGTAACTGATGAAGTATGGATAAAACATAAACATTGGTGAAAGTAATACACTTATATAAATAATACAACAATCAAAGCAGGATACTTAGAAAATGGAGGGATTACAAGATAAAATTAAAGACGACTAGCAGCTAATTCATGCAATTTTAGAGGATGTACTTGCCGCTTTGCCAGAAATTAGTTTAGGTTGTCAAAGACTAACAGAATTCAAAGGACAATGAAGTGGGGTCCGATGTTCAGCAAGAATTCCACGCAAATTGACATCCTTAACTAACTCCCTTTAACCGTTTAGAGATTTTTTGGAGACAATAGAGTTATTGCTCACAATTTTACAAACAATCATTTTCACCCAAAAGGATGACTGGCTCGCCAATCGTGGAGTGGCTCAATCAAATAATCTCATTATTCTAGGTAGTGCTCCCAGGGAACTTCGTAGGATTCTTAGTGAGGATGTTTAAGGAGTGGCCTTCCCACGCTTTGTTCCTCCTTGATAGGTTGTTTGGTTTTTTTTTCCTTTTCTGTTTATTTGGTATTTTTCCTCTTTAGCAAAAAAAAAAAAAAAAAATTCACCTAAAAGGAGAAAAAAAAAACAATATTCTTCACCAGTTCACCCTCGTTAATTACAACAATTTGTATATTATACTCCATTTCCATTTAATTACAACAATTTAACTTTTACATTATTTGTATATTTCTTATTTATTTTGGGAAAATTTGTAAATTACAGTCATTTAAAGTTTGTATTTTGCAAATGGCAGCCATTTAAATTTTTTTTTGCAAATTGAAGCCCAAAAATTCGTATAATTTGTAAATTACAACCCAATTCAAATTTTTCATCGACTTATTACATGTTGAAAAATCTTCGTTTGAGGTTTAAGGGGCCTTTTTAGCTCTTAAGGGTCCGGATTGAGCCTCGAAATTAGCAAAACAATAACGTAAGTGTCTCATTTTTACAGTATTCCACAAATCAATATATTTTTGTTACGCAAAACAAGGCACTTATGTTATTTTTTTTGCTAATTTCGAACACAATTCGAAACCTTAAGAGATAAAATGGCCCCTGAAACCTTAACCGAAGATTTTCCAACATGTAAATCGATGTAAAAGTTGATCGAATTGGGCTGCAATTTACAATTTATACGAACTTTCGGGCTGCAATTTGCAAATTTTCCTTTATTTTGACTATATTACATGAATACTTGTCATCAATCCAAAATCAATTACTTTCTAGGGTTTTTGAGGAATCAACCTTAAGTAAATTTGGAGAGTTTTTTTAAAGAAATTGGTTGGGCTTGTAGTAGGGACGTCAGAATAGACGTTTCTGGAGCTCCTCCCAGCCGTCCCCAAATTAGCTTCCTGTACCACATTTCGAGGGTATTCTTTGGGGACGTATTTGGGTCGTACCCGTACCGCACCCGTACCCGATACGTCTCCGGTACGGGAAACGGCTACACTTTGGCGTACCCATGCATCCTTGGTTGTAATAATTGCACCTTTTGGCACTTTTTACCGTCTCACCTCTAATTACGGAGTACATGTTATTATGTAGCTCTAAAGGCTATTTATAAGCATTAAATATACTATTGGAAATTGTATAAATTAGGAATTCATGATAAAAACACGCGTAAATATATGTTATTAGTGTTTATATTTTTATGATTTCTTAACTTTTTACGATTTTCAAGTGTAAATTTAATGTTTATATGTAGCCCATGTATAACATTATCCTTATATTTATATGTAAGAAAAAAAAATATTCCGTATATATTATTTATATAAGGTCTTGTTAAATATACCTCGTTATATATCTTTATATTATCCACATTTTAAAATTATTACTCCGTATTATAATATTGAAATTTGCATTATGATGCTTAAATCTCCTTCATGTTGCTATATTTCAGGGAATTGGAGGATATGTATGGCTTGGGGACAAAGTAATAGCGACAGAAAGTGCACTCTTGTACATCTGTCGCCAATTTTAATTAAAACTTACGCTTGTTAATGCGGATTTTATATTCTATTCGTAAATAAGATTGACAACATCAAATTTTAATAAATAAATAAATAACACAATTACTGTGTTCAACATTGAAGCAGTAATCAAACCAGCAGAGATAATCTGGATGTAAAAATTGAAATTCCCTGCTTAATAAACTGTAAACCTAGCCAGTCAGAGCAATTCTCAAAATACTTTGTATGATTTATGAACAGCTTACATGTATTTCATAGCCCCAAATGAGGAAAAACTCTTTAACCAAAATTCTATACAAACACCAAAAAAATTTACCAAGTTCGGGCATGAAAACCTCTGATTGTACAGACGAAGCAATCAAGCAAACGTATAGTAGCAAAGAATGGCATTACCACATCCACAAGATCAAACTCTAAAAAATAGATATGTGAGCACGGTGATAGTAAAGCAAGCCGCTGATACAGCAGTCCTCAGACCAGAGGAAGCTATCTGGATAGTAAAATTGCAATTCCCTGTCGAGATATTCTTCATTGTTAACCTAGCCATACCTCCAAAGTCGCAGGCCTCAAGTTTCTGATACTGAGTCTGATAGTACACATTAAAGGCATAGGACACGTTCCCATTTAAATCCAGACCGTTACATGAGGATCCATACCCAAGAGGTGTACAATCAGCATAAGTGCATGCGAAATTAATGTTATCTCCCAGCTTGCTCAGATCCTTAGCATTCGGGTCAAACTCACACCATTGCTTCTCAAGATATTGGACATTCCTTGCACCAATAAGATAGATTTCCCGGTTTTCACTGGCAAGATACATGGGGAATTTTGGCTGTCCGTCATACCGGAAAATTCCCCAGTGCCTCTCAAATGACCCAGGTCCAACACTTTTTGCATCCTCGTCAAGGAGCCCAAACAAGTACATCTCTATATATCCAGGCCTCAAAGGAGTACCAGTGTTAGCTGCAAGCCTTGGAAGGAGGCCTTGATAGAATTTGATAGCATTGTTAATATTGGCATTAATATCACCATCAGTGGGCCACCCAACCTCCCCAACAATTATAGGCATAGTCCCATACCCTGCTGCTTTTAAGGCCGAAACCAATGTATCAAAGTTGGCATCAAAAACATTAGTGTATTGGATCCCATTATCATCAAGAGGAGTAGCTCCCCCATCAAAGAATGCATAGTTGACTGGAAAATCGGGGTTACCATACAGACTGAGGAAAGGGTAGATATTGACGGTGAATGGTGCATTGTTTTGGCTCATAAATTGGACCATCTGGGTCATGACATCAGCAATATCAGGTCTGAATCTTCCAGCAGAAGGTACAGGATTGGACTGTGGTGATTCGTAAACATCAGCATTTAAGGGCACAGTTGCTTTAACTGAGTTTCCTACCCCAGCTTCATTAAGAGCATTTTGAATATTTTGAAGGGCCGGCAGAGTAGCATTCTCAAATGTACCATTGTAGGTCTTGAGAAAAGGTTCGTTTCCAACCGCCACATATCTGCAACCGGTAAAGGGTTCAATGTTGCAGAAGTTTGCACATTCTAACACATCAAAAGGGTAACTAACAATTGCATATGATTTGGCATGCACCAAGTACTTGTCCACTAATCAACCATCTCTAGATATTTGCAAAAGCAAAACCCAGTTATTTAGAATATTAAATGAAAATGATCATCAAATAAGATTTCTACTACTTCGAATTTATGTACAAAATGTTTTCTGGTCCTCATTTATACATTTTATACTTCGAAAAAATTGGACAATAAAACATAACAGTGCCCACATCATGAAAGACTACTTTAAGCATACAATAATGGGAATGTGCACAGATATAATCTAAGACAACCTACATTCATGTGCTTTTACTGTCTGGGTCATACTACAGCTACAGGCACACTAGAATTTGTCAAAAAAATTTATTTCTGCATCATTTATTATTGATTTCCTCTGTTATTTACAGTCTAGCAAGAAAAATAAGAAAAATGAAAAAAAAATTGCCCTAGGAAGTGCATTGTAATCATTACTTTTCTTAGCTCTATCACCTTTATAACACTGGAAAAGTTTGAGAAGCTTAAGATTAGCATGAATACAATCACATGCCAAAATCCCAAATATATTATCCTATCGACTGTTCTTTCTTATAAAGTGCATATATAAAGCATCAACATGTCCACTGCCACAGTTAGTATAATCAGTCTAGTGGGAATGTAAAGAGAATATGAAGATAGCAACTTACTAGAAGAATAGGATAAAAAATGGTTCAACAAAAATATAGAACAAGAGATGACATGACTCATATGAGAGCAAACTAGTACTAGACCAAAAAATTGTACAGATGGATCCAGAGCATAGCTCAAAGTTGGTAATGAAAATGAATTGGATCATAAATATATGATATATCAGTCAATCATTTAACTACCCTTAAAAGGTTTCCCCTTGCTCAATAATTATTATACCTCATCATTAATTTCTCCAAGGTACAATGGTACATAACACAATCACATAATGACCTGTTAGCAAATTTAGATGATAAAGTTGAAGGTATAAAAAGAGAATTAAGCACTAATAGGTAACATGATGTCCAAAATTCACATCAAGGTAGGTTTGTACATGTAACGTTACCCATATTCATGAAAGGTTAACAATATCCCTAATCTACCCAAATGATATACTGAAATTCATTTCTTTGAAGCATTCAAATTCAGCAGGCCTAGTCATTACGACTTTTTTAAAATTAGAACCAGTTACTCCACTTTCCTGTCTTTCAACGCCCTTCCCCCTTCAAAGATGAGAACCATCACCTGTCTGCTCTATCATGGTTGCTGCTTATACATGGTTAAATTCCTCTGCCATTTCCACTCAACCCTCCAAATTCAAAAATTTTGGCCTACAAGATCAATTACATCACAGCTAACATTCCAAACGTAACCTCCAACAAGATATTCCTATTCCAACTTCCAATAAAATTCCAAAATTTTTGCAGTTCAATTGGGTGTACTCTGATTGCTCACCACTAATAGTAAGATGATGTTGCTAGAAAATTTGTCCTTCAACCACTCTCCATATAAACCATCTAATTCAATTTCAATTGGGGATGGATTAGTCAATTAGGAAAATCAATTATCTCCTAGTTCAATCTTGTGGAACATAGTATTTTGGAACTCCCCCGTACTTCTGTAAGTCGAAAAACTTTGTAGGCTTGAGTGTTAGTTGATAATTGCATAGGTTACTTTTTTGTGAAAAAATCAATGCACACAATCACTTTAACAAAAGTTTAGTACCTTTTCCATAAACTTTTCAAAAGGAAATTAAAAAGTAATCCATAAAAGGCAATTTAACATCAAAAATGAAAATAGAGGTAGCTCAAAATTAATGTGAATTTTGGAGTAAGCTCAGCACAAATTTAGTGTAGTGAAGTTATGGTCCAGGAAATGAAGATGCTTTAAAAAAATGAGCTAATAAGCACAAATCACATGGCAATTGGCAAGTGGATGAAATATAACATCCCACAAAATGAAGAAAAGGGGAACACAAATTTTGCATTTTTATCATTTTGGATCAAGACAAATTCTTTGTCACAACCCAGATAAACAGGACAAGATCTACCAGCATATTCTAAAGGGTTAAAACAAGGGAAATAAAATTTGATTACACAACTCACTTGATGTTGACTCCTCCTTTGAAATTGTAACGCACAACATTGCTCCGAACCCACTTTTGAGCTTGATGATAATCAAGCATAGCAGCCAACTCACCATTAGGAATGGCAACCATAACTTCAATATTAGTACCAGTGAGCGCACTCAAAGTAGATTCATCAGCATCAAACAACTTCACTTTTTGAATACCATTATCCTTTAACAGCTGTACTACAGTACTAAGAGGCAATTTGTGATTAGCTTGAGTTCCCCAATTGACTCCAAGCCCTTCAACCTTACAAGCCCTTAATGATACCCCGATTATCAACCAACTTACAAACAACAGCCACTCCTTTTCCATCGAAAACGAATGTTATCTATGCATATAGTACAGTTTTATGGCGGCGCCAAAATGAATTTATTTAAAAAAAGTCAACAGCTAAAGGTTAAAGCCTCCTATTCAAAGAAAAGAGCAATTGAGAAGGTATAGATAATTAAAGGACGATGCAGAGAATGAGAAAAATGTCAAACAGATACCTCTCGGTTGATTATTTGTGAGCAGAAAGGAAGCCAATCAATGAAATTCAAAGAGGCTTCTTAAGTAAGAAGAAATATGAAATGGTAAAAACCCCCAGAATATGTCAACTAGAGAGGTTGACTATGATCAAATTATTGCAGAAGAACTGTAAAAGCAGGATAATGCAGAAAACCCAAGAGGGTGATACAGGATTACAGTAAAATTTATGCAAAAGTGGAGAAGGGAAAAGTTCACTAATCTGAAGAAAATGAAGAGATTTTGTAAGTTGTATGTTGTGTGGACAAGATTGAATGGTATAGAAAGCATCAAAGCAATTATTTAGTATGACAATGAGTTGATATATTCCCCTTCCTGAAATGGACGAGGACAAACATATATGACTAATAAGAATTAATGTTATAAACTATGAATAGGACAGCATATCAAAAAGAGTATAATGATGTACTTGCCTAGTCAGCTATCTACCCTAAACCCAAACATCATTATCTTAGGTGGGTTGGTTAGAGTCTTTGGGGTTGAACCGAAAACTTGGGATCGAATATTGTCTACATCATTGCCTCTACGGCTCTCTCTACTATACTACAACAATAACAAAAATAAATTAATATATAAAATAGGATTCCATTTTTTATTAGGTTACTTACCTGTAATAATAACTCAATCAACCCCTAAAAGTTGGCAGCCATATCTTCTTTCCTAACATATCAAAGAAAAACCATAATGTAAAGAAGAAACACTGTAGAGAACTGGTCCACTTGATGAGCTAGTCTTTTCAACTACACAACCACTTCCAGAAACATAAGTCAAGAACAATTTATAGGTAAGTTAGTGAAGTTAATAATAAGCTTTTCAAACGCGAGCAATAATCAAAAGAAATGAAATTTGGTATTTACTGTATAAGTTTAAATTGTTCATCACACATCAAAACCCCAGATTAAACCGCGAGTAGGCGGTGTCGGAAGCAGTTCAACTGAGTAATACAGGTTGATCTCAGCAGGGTGAGGAAAGGGTGTTGATGTCACGCCATTACCTAGTTGACAAAATTAACAACTAACACAACAGCAAAGGAGCAAAAACAGAACATTCTTACAAATTAATTAATTAATATAATTGAACTACCAACTATCTAGCCTCTAACTTAATATATTACTGGAATATTAGCACTTATTTGCATGTTATGTCAATAATTAATAGCTATATAATCATGAACAAGTCAATAAAAAGTAAGATTACAACCATAATTAGAGGTCATAATCAACAAAAATATAACCCATAAAAAGACTGAAAACTACATATAAATAATAACACCATAGATCCAAGTTTAGTTGTCATATTAATAGTTCAAATTACGCTATTGACGTGACTATTAATTCTAGACGGAGCAAAAAAAAATCACAAGAACAGTAATTCAGGGTTTTTCTTTCAAACTTTAAACATTAAACAACAAATTTTACACTGGTTCTTTGTACAACAAATCAAATAAAATTCAATGTTACTCAGTTCAAGAACACAATTACAACGAAATTACTGTCACAAAGAGCTAACAAATCGCTGTTGTATTCTAAAATTAAAATCCAAAAAAATAGACTGTAATTTTCAATCAATGAAAAGATAAATATCGTATATAATTGAAATACTGAAACTAGAATAAAAAGTTCTGTAAAATTGAACTCACTTGATATATGAATAATATGATTGTAGTGTTCATCAATAATTGAACAAGAACATCAGAATATCAGATAGTGGCTTTTATGGATAGAGAAGTGCGGGAAACAGATCTGCACCTTTTCGTTGGTAATTTCTCTCTCCAAAAGTAATACAAGTAGAAATTACCCACTGTCATGTGAAAATAATATAAATAAATAAATGTACTCGTAGAAAACTTTGGGTTAAAAGCTTATCCAAGATAAAACTTTCATTTCTTGTCAAAAAAATAAATTAAGTAAAATAAAATCAAAGTAAAATTGTCGGGAAAGTACCTTGAATTTGAGGAAGTACTGGAACACTGCTATACAAAGAACGATGAATCTAAGTTTTCAAGCTGCAACACTTACGACTATGTCAATTCCCTGTTCGCAAATTTGTTCCCACTTCTTCTCGTGTTCTCATGATTGGTTGCGAAAATGCTGGTAAGTTTTCGACTTTTATTTTATCAATTTTTTTTATTTAATTTGTGATTTGTTGATTTAAGCTAGATAACTTATAAAGGAATTCTGGGGTTTTTGTTTTGGTTGTTTCGATAAGATTTTGGGTTTTTAATGTTGGAATCGAGTGTTTTGAGCTGTTTGATTTTGCTTTGTATTAGTGATGATCGACTGATTGTCATCAATGCATCAAGAAATGCTTTAAACTGGAAAAAAATTACAGCTTTATTAGAAAACTGAAATTGCTGAAGTTTTTAGATGAATTCTTCTACACCTTGCCCAGATGCTCTTGAAAGCCTTTATACTGCTATTTCTTGACCATTTTCTAGTTTACCCTGTAAACAAACATCATATTATCTCCTGCTACGTTTTGTTGCATTTTAGACTACGTAAGATCGTGTTTGAATTGAACTCATTCTTACCTTGGCCAAAACCACCCTTCCCAAGCAAGTTACTCTCACTAAAGCCGTCTGTTGCTATTATCAGATCTTCAAGTTTTGAGACTTTTCAGTCTTCAATCATAACTTGGGTTTTGTCTCTGAATAGATATGAATCTGTTGCTTTCCCAGCTTTCTTCTCTGGTATTAATTTAGATTTTCTATTTCTATCCGATGTGTGTTTACCCTTTTTCCGAGCTCTCCATTTGAACAGGAAGTATGTGATATTGGCAATCACTGTTGTTCCTAAAGTCATATCTCTTACTAGCACCTGCAAAGCAGAGGAAATTATTTTACATATGCATACTAACATGATCTTTTTTACTAGGTGGGAAGATGAGAATTCAGAAGCCTATAATATCTCCTAAAGTGTCTAGCATTCAAAATTTCAAAGAGGTATGATTAACTTACTTAGCTCTGATTGTTCAAGCCGAATGAATAGGTCCACCCCTCCAGGCGAAAGGTCCTCTATGTCAATCAAGTTCTCGCTCCATCTCATACATCCAGTTCCAGTATCATGTGTATAAGCCAAACAAGAGCAGTTTGCCAGGCAGGTTTTTCTGCACTGATCAGGATTCAGACCCACAAACCATTCAGCAATATCAGCATTAACTGGCACTTTCATCATCTTTAACCTCAAAAACCCATCTTGTTTTCCCCCTTGAACCCCAGATTGTAGGCTTGCAGCTTCTTTCTTCTCACACACCCACTTGTCCAGTTTCCTCTCCTCCATTCCTCCGTGTTCTTTGGCACAAACCCTTTTAAGCAGCTGCACATAGGTTTAGTCTGCGGGTTGCAGTTTCCAAATTCTCCACACATACCATAGGTGTCACATATATTTTCCGGGGCATGCCACAGTTCTTCTTGCTATCATCCCACCACCTTTCAGCTAATATCCCTTGATCAGTTATTACATAACGAGGCAACAAAGTCTCATTCGCACCTGTAAAAACTAGAGAAAGCATCCCTCTTACTTCCTCCTGTGCGAATGACCCAGTGTTAATGAGTATATCACCATAACCAGTATTATGATATCTTGTTCCCATGAAAATGTTTCCATTCCAAGGTCCACTTCGCCAATAAGGGCGATCCCCATCCCATATGATAATCTGAAAAAACCTAGAGTTAGTACCAACTGAGTACCTTCCAACTGATGGATCTGAAGGACTTTTCCAGGCTTGCACGACTTTCCTGAATTCAGGATTATTGTTAAGAATGAACTTCATATTTGGCAAGACTGAGTCTGCAGGATACTGAAAACTCTGCCATATGATCGTCCCATTGCCACGACTCGTGTTGTTCGGAAATCCTTGGATAAAAATGTTCCCGGAATCTTGAAGTTGAGCTGCTACGAAACCAGCTGTAGGATGAGTGACATTGGATGACCAAATAGTCTGATATTTTTGCATCAGAGAGTGATATCTTAATTACACCAGAAAGTATCAGTAAGGGGATTGTTCCTGTTAGCTACCCATACTAAATACAACTTCCATTTCAGAAGGGTGATTATACCAGATTTCAACATAACGATTGGAAGAGTTTTGAGGGCTGAAAATTCCTAGCTTGAAAATGCTATTTTTAGAAAGTATTGATTCTGAGTCTTTTAGGAATTGTGTTGGTGTAATACTGTCAATTGCAGAGCAGATTTTAGAACTGAAAAGAAGAATGTATGGAATTAATGCAAAAATAGGTATCATTCTTTGCTTAATTGATTATATCATGTAACATTTGGCAATTTAGAGATAATATAAGGGCTCTGAAGGTAAGTTGTGTGTGTGTGTTTTTTTCTCTCTCTTTTTTTTTTTTTTTTGCTCAGAATTTCAGAGGTCTTTGGTGTTAGGCCTGTTAGGCCTGTTAGCTCTTTGAGTGAAACACGTGAACTTATGAGTGCTTTAAACTAGTGGATGTTCTGGACTTCTAGTGTATTGGTGCTGTTGTTAAGGTTTGTATTGATTGACGACTATGACGAGTAGATTAAAATATTTCGAGTTTGACTAGCCGTATTGTTATATGAGATGCGTTATATAAAAAAATCTTGATATATATAAGATATAAACTTTAATAATTTTTACTAATTTGAAATCAAATATATAAATGATCAAAGTATTTGTATTGTTACATAGCAAGATAAATTAATATGTAAGATCATTCATGAGTTCATATGGAACAACATTAGTTGGTACTTGGGACACAAATTTCTCAAATTTTCTCCACACCAAAAGAAATAAAACAAGCTAAATTATGCATTACATCTTGAAACCATATGAACATTACAAGGAACCTCTTTGGAATTAAATGTTGGAATGTATTTCGAATGCAACTTATGTATGCATTATATATATTTGAAGGCTTGGTACTTAATGTGTAAAACATATATTTTTAGCTATATTCCTAGTATGATAATGAATGTACTAAAAACAAGATGAAGGGTACCAAATTCACGACCGAGGGTACCTAATAAAAAAATGAATGATCAATGGTAATATATGTGACATGAAGTAATTAGATTATTAGTACTACATCCGTTACATATTATTTGCAACGATTAGACATTTTTCCTCTCTACTTTATGTCAAATCGTTGCAAACAATATGTAACGGAGGTAGTATATTAGATCAAATAACAAAGAACTATACTATTTGCGGGGAATTCAATAAGGTATTAATGTTGTTTTGACTATAAGCAATGATACTGTCACTCTAATGTTTCTTAATCCCTCTAGTAATATATGAATTGTATATTGTAGATCATACTATATACAACAATTGCGTGTCAACAATTGAACGCACAGGACTAACAAAGAATCTATCCACAAATGTCTTATTGTACGCGTATCAACAAATGAATAACAAATGTCTCGATTTGCTTGTTCAAATTTGAATTAGAAGGGGCTATAAGAAACAAATCTGAAAATCGAATCATAGAATCGAAATATTCGACAGACATGCACAATCAAGACGTCATATCCAAATTTAAATCGAATAATAGAATAACATCAACAACAACAACAACAACAACAACAATAATAATAATAATAATAAAATAATAATAATAATAATAATAATCAATAATCATTAAATAATAATAATAATAATAATCGATAAATAATAATAATAATTATAAAAATAATCAATAACCAATAAATAATAATAATAATATTAATATTAATATTAATATTAATATTAATAATAATCAATAAATAATAATAATAAAAAAAAATAATCAATAAATAATATTAATAATAATAATAATAGTAGTAGTAGTAGTAGTATATTTTTCTTAAATATTTTAATATTTATATTTGTATATACACATATGTATAATAATAAATAATCAAATATCACTAATCCGTAGTTAAAAATCGCTAATTAATAAGTTCAGTTCAGTTCAGTTCAGTCCAGTTTAGTTCAGTTCAGCTCATTTCAGTCCAGTTTAGTTCAGTTCAGCTCAGTTCAGCTCAGCTTACTTCAGTTCAGTTCAATTTAGTTCAGTTCAGTTTAACTGAGTTTAGTCAATGAGAACAGGATACTGAACTCAAATATTGCTTACCAATAAGTGTCTAACCTACTAAGGATACTAAGAGATGTTGTGTAGTGGGGACACTAGGAAGGGTACTTCGAAAACTATGTCATATAAAAAGCCAGGGCTAATACGAACCTTCACATTATAATTTTTTCTTTTTTTTTTTTTTTTTTTTTTTTTTTTTTGCTGTTCTAATGTATTCGCCCTTAGGACTAATCTGAATTCGGGGATTATTTTTTGGGTTTTGATTTCCACCATACCTCTTAAATCACACAAACATGAATTGTAATAATATATTTGACCAGGAAAATTACTCATGCCTTGATCGTATGAAAAATTAATTTTTCTTTACATGAGTATTCTAAATGTACGCATAATATGAAATACAGAACAAATTGATTAAAGAGATTATTTTTATTTGTAAATCTATTTATCTATCTATCTATGTATAAATAAATATTACTAAAGTAACAACCGCTTATATCACTACTTTTTTTCAAATTGTACACGTGTCAGCTTTTCATTCATTTTTTTCCCGCCTCAACTTCTTTAT